AAAAAAAAAAAACAAATTAAAAGAAGGAGAGGGAGTTGCCGGAAAAGGTGACGGGATGGAGGGAAACGGGGGAGGATTTTTTGGGTGGGGGAAGATGATTGAGTAAAAATATAATATTATTATGTATGGTAGGTGTAAGAAAAAAGGTAAAATAAAACTAATAAAATAATGTATATGAAAAATTTGAGTAGGATGATGTCATTGAATATTTTATTTTTTATTTAACTTAATACTAGGGAGTTAAGTGGAACATCATTATGAGGGTAGGGAGTTCAAAGGAAAAAAAAAACAAGTTGGGGACTGAGAAGGAAAGTAAAAAGTGACTTAGGGATTTTTAAAGAACTTTCATAAATCTACATTACTTAAATTTTAAATTATTTGGTTTATCAATTGTTTAGAAGTTTTATCAGTTTGGAAGCTTCATGATATGATTGGTGCTTGAATTTTAAATTATTTGGTTTATTAATTGTTTAGAAGTTTTATCAGTTTGGAATCATGATATGATTGGTGATTGAGTTTTAAATTATTTGGTTTATCAATTGTTTAGAAGTTTTATCAGGTTGGAAATTTCATGATATGATTGGTGTGGAATGTAGCATCTAGTCTTGCTTATGTGGCATATAAATAAATTCAAGTCTTGAATGACATGGATAAATGTATGAAAAATTAATAAAATTCACTTCAATGAAATTTGGTTTAAAATAGACTTAAGGGTACACCGGATCTCTTTTTCTGGCTGTCACATCAGCAGGACCCAGTCTACTTTTGTTTGCACTGGAGAATACAATTTTTTAAACTAGGTTTATTTTTTATGTGGCATACAATTTTTTATGATTGAACCCAAAACATTGTGGAATGTATTTCAAACGTGAGTTATGTATTTTTTGTTATGTTTCTATCCATAACTGAATTGATTAAAATATCCATTTTTTAATACATTTAATTAATTAAAGATTGTAATTATAATTCTGTTTTTTAAACTTCAATTTTATTAGGAATTGTAATATTATTATTGTAATGTTATTATAATAATTTTTTTTTTTTTTTT